GGGCCGCGGGCCGTGGGCGGGCTGGGGCGGGCGGAAGGAGAGCCAGGCCGGAAGGAGGGTGAAGGAGGGCGGGAGGTAGGAGCGGGCCCGGAGCTGCTGGGCCGGAGCGGCGGCGCCGCCATGTCCGACAGCGAGAAGCTCAACCTGGACTCGATCATCGGGCGCCTGCTGGAAGGTGCACCGGGCGGGGAGGGGGGCGTCCGCAGCGCCTGGCCCCCTGCCCGGGCCGGAAGTGCGCGCGGGCGGGCCTGACGCTCTCGCGGCCAGCTTCGCCTGGGCGGGGACGGGCCGTGAAGTCCCGCGGCAACCCCCCCCCGCCCGCCTGGGGCGCGCCTAGGCTTTGGGGCACATTCCGGCAGGAGCAGCCCCTTGTCCCGGGCCCACGGGAGACTGGTGACGCCTGGTCGGCACGGGGTTCGGCGCTTCGAGGTTTCGGGGGACCGGCGCCTCTCCAGGCCCGCGGGGTGGCGGAGGGGAATCTTGCCTCTGGAAGCCTGAGGCCCTTTGGGGCGGCTCCCCAGCAACAGCTGAGTCTTTGCCAGGACGGGGTCCAAGGGTTACCCCCGGGACACCCTCATCCTCAGGGGCCAGGGTCCCAAGACCCCATTCCGTTCCCAGTGCAGGGCTCGCGGCCTGGAAAGAATGTGCAGCTGACCGAGAACGAGATCCGTGGTCTGTGTCTCAAATCCCGGGAGATTTTCCTGAGCCAGCCCATTCTTCTGGAGCTGGAGGCTCCCCTCAAGATCTGTGGTGAGCCCTGCTCAAGACCCCCTTGACTACCCAAAAGTAGTACTGTGACCCCCCCTCCCCCCCAGTTCCTGGATCCCTCCTCCCTTGAGCTCACGGCTGGGCCCTGGGTTCAAGTTTAGAACTTGCACCTAGCCCTCTCTGGTCCCCAGGTGACATCCATGGCCAATACTACGACCTTCTGCGGCTGTTTGAGTACGGTGGCTTCCCTCCTGAGAGCAACTACCTCTTCCTGGGGGACTATGTGGATCGGGGCAAGCAGTCTTTGGAAACCATCTGCCTGCTGCTGGCCTATAAGATCAAGTACCCTGAGAATTTCTTCCTGCTCCGTGGGAACCACGAGTGTGCCAGCATCAACCGCATCTATGGTTTCTATGATGAGTGTGAGTGGTTTGAAGGTTGCTCGCTGCCTGGAAACATTTCCAACTCTTCATGGGACCTTCATGTTGGTCTGGTGCCAAAAGACCCCTGATGTACTATGAACCCCTGAAGGCCCTTGTCACATCCTGTTGTCCCTGGTGCTCAGGAGGGGCCTGGTTGAATGAAAGCACCTGGAGGGCTGCCCACTTGCTAATGGGTGGCCCAGGGCCTGCCTAATACACTCCCTTCTTGAATGCACATCCCTTAAGCACTTGGGATGCCTCTATTGATAAACCAGACCTGCTTTTGGTCTGGCCTTGTTCAGGGGATAGAGGTGGGTGCCAACCCTGACATTGGGCCAGACTGGAATTCAGGTTCCTGTGGACACATGCTTTAGAATTCTTTAAAGTAAATGGGGTGGGGGGCACTTGAGCCTTCCTTTTATCTCTTCCATCTATATCAGACTAACCCACAAAGTTCCCCAGAGGGTCCAGAAAACCAGGCTGAGGGTTCAGTGGGCGTGGGCAGGCTTACCTCAGCCATCCCCTCCTTTTGGCAGGCAAGAGACGCTACAACATCAAACTCTGGAAAACCTTCACCGACTGCTTCAACTGCCTGCCCATCGCAGCCATTGTGGATGAGAAGATCTTCTGCTGCCATGGAGGTGGGGGCCAGTGCTGAAGGGGTGCTTGGGCCACATCCCTGGGGGCCTTGGAAAGGGAGCAGAACCCTTCCCAACTGCCTGGAACACCCCGTTGCCTCTTGGATGTCACTCCTCGCAGGAAGCCCTCGCACCCTGTTTGGCTGCACACTTTCCTGTTGTGGCAGTTTGGCATCCTGCAGGCAATTCACTGTCCTCTCCTCCCGGGAGCTCTGCTCCTTGAGGCATCTTTGTGCTTGAAAAAACTGAGGGTGATGGGTTCTACCAGAAGAGGGGCCAAGTGGTGCTGGGAAGGGGGAGGCTGTTTCCCAAGGGCATCTGGGCACAGGGGAGTCCCTGCTTTTTGGCTTATTAAGAACGTGCACTGTTGCCCCCCCCCCCAGGTCTATCTCCAGACCTGCAGTCCATGGAGCAGATTCGGCGCATTATGCGACCCACAGACGTGCCTGACCAGGGCCTGTTATGTGACCTGCTTTGGTCTGACCCCGACAAGGATGTACAGGGCTGGGGCGAGAATGACCGTGGAGTCTCCTTTACCTTTGGGGCTGAGGTGGTAGCTAAGTTCCTGCACAAGCATGACTTGGACCTCATCTGTAGGGCACATCAGGTGGGCTGCTGGCCCTGGGGCAGGGTGAGGGATGGCCAAGCTAGCTTAACTTGCAGACCCAACTGTTCCATCTTGGCCCAGGTGGTAGAAGATGGCTATGAGTTCTTTGCCAAGCGGCAGCTGGTGACACTCTTCTCAGCTCCTAACTACTGTGGCGAGTTTGACAATGCTGGTGCCATGATGAGTGTGGACGAGACCCTCATGTGCTCCTTCCAGGTGGGTGTGGGGGAGGCTGGGGTGGCTGCTCAGCACCAGGTGGGTGTGGGGAAAGGTGGGGGCCACTGCCTGCTCAGCACCATGAGCCTGACCAGCTTTTCTCTTCTAGATTCTCAAGCCCGCTGACAAGAACAAGGGGAAGTACGGGCAGTTCAGTGGCCTGAACCCTGGAGGCCGTCCCATCACCCCACCCCGTAACTCTGCCAAAGCCAAGAAATAGCCTCCACATGCTGCCCTTCTGCCCCAGATGGATTGATTGTACAGAAACCATGCTGCCATGGGTCACACAGGCCCCTCAGGCCCACCCATCACAGGGAACACAGAGCGTTAAGTGTCTTTTCCTTTCTTTTTTTAATGAATCAATAGCAGCATCTAATCCCCAGGGCTCCCTCCCACCAGCACCTGCCGTGGCTGCAAGTGGGATCCTGGGGCCAAGGCTGCAGCTCAGGGCAATGGCAGACCAGATTATGGGTCTCTGGCCTTGCGTGGCCGCAGGGCTGGCAGCCGGATCCTGGGGCAACCCATCTGGTCTCTTGAATAAAGGTCAAAGCTGGATTCTCGCCATGGCCTCTGTCTCCCTTGTCCCAGATTGTCCCAGACAGTGGGCCAGCAGCCCTTTGGTACAAAGCCATGTGGGAGGGCAGACGTGTCTGTTGGGCACAGGCCCAGCTGCACACTCAGGTCCAGAAGCGATTAGGATTCCAAGCTGGGGCCCAAGCATTGGGAAAGCAAGAGAAACTGTCTTTGCCAGTCACAAGGGGTTCCAGGTTTGGCAGAAGGTAGTCAGCAGTGCTATAATTTTTTTGGAAGGTAAGCCTGGAGGAAGGCAGGCTTCAAGCCCTGGCCAGATGGCTGGAGTCTTGGCCTAAGGCTCTACAGTAAATAAGGTGAGGAACCTGTCAGGTGGCAGCTGGGCATCAGGCAGGGAACGAGACATGATTGCTTGCAGGTTGAAGGAGGCAGAAGACCAGCCCAAGCATGGTCAGTTTGGCAGCTGGCGGGGCCTGTGGGGGCGGGGGCAAGCACAGCCCCTCACTCCTAGGGACTGAGACCCAGCCCTGCTGCTGGCTGGACCTGCTTCTGGGCTGTGGCCTTTGGACATAGACTTCATGTTCTCTGTTCAGCCTTCACCATCACTGTCTTCAGCCAGCACAGGGCTAGGACCCTGGGGGGAGTGTATGGGGGCCAGGATGGAGCCAAAGAACAGAGAGCGGAACTGGAAAGAACAGAGGAAGCCCAGTGAGTTCTGGAGGCTGCACTCTTCCTCACCTTGCAGCCCCTCCCCCCACCTCCAGCCCCTACCTTCTTGGGTGGGGGAGTCCCAGGCACTGTACTAGCCTCAGCTTCTTCTTCCTCCTCTGAGAGGGGGCCAGGGTCATGGGAGGGCTGGGGGCCAGGTGGGAGGGAAATGGAGGGCTGTGCCCATGAGCCCTCACTGCCCACGGTGGTTTCCATGGCAATCATGTAAGAGTCGATGTCATCATTGGCAAAGTCATCTAAGTGGGGTGTGCTGTAGGCAGACAGGATCAGCACAGAATAGGGAGAAGAGGGGTACAGAAGCAGGCCCCACCTTGGAGGGTTCTGAAGGGATCCTAGGGCCTCAAGACTGCTGGGAACTCTTGATTTTATTACTTCCTGATTTGGCTGCAGTGGAGAGGATGCAGGGGTTAAGTGGGGGCTTCCTGGAGGGGATGGGAGTAGAATCCCTTTGATGAGAGTTCAGGTAAGGGCCTGAGGGAGGCATCCTGGGGCTAGTTTAGCTCAGCCAGGGGAGGGGAGCAGCCAGTCCTCTGAGTAGGGCCACGTGGGGTTCAATCACCATCTTCCCAGGGGAAAGGAGCTGGAAAGCACCAGAGCCCAGGGATGTGCTGGGCAGAGGGCCAGACCACACTTCCTCTGCTTCAGCTACACTGGGCCCATCTTCCCCAACCCACCTGCCCTTCCAACCACCTGCTTCCCCCACCCCAGGCAACTCCCTGCCTCCCAGCAGCCTCCTTAGCCTGGGAGGAGGCTCAGAGGGGAGGCCTCAGCCAGAGAAGGAAGCCAGCAGGACCTTTGGGATGCCGCTCTGGGTGGGAGGGGTCTCAGTACAGCTGACCATGAAGCCTGAGCCTACAAGGCTGGAAGGCCTGTAGAGGCTGGGGCCTGACAGGAAATGTATGTGTGTTGGGGGAAGGTGGGGAAGCTAGAAGTAGCAGGCTCCGGAGGGGTGCGCGGATAGAGGGAGAAATGGGTGGAAGGTGCCCATACCTGTGAGCCTGCTTCTGAGGCACTGGCTGGTGGAGGTCCTGCGAGCGTGCATCCAGCTCCATGAGTGTAGCCAAGACAAAGTGGCCCTCCAGCAGAGAATCCTCAATGGTAAAGATGGCTGGCCTTGGTGAGGGAATCGGGTAAGCCAGGTCATCCCACTCTGCTCTGGGCCTCCCAGAGCCCTGCCTCCTCCCCTGTCTACAGGCCTGGAATTACCTGCCTGGAGCATCAAAGTGAATGGTAAGAGGCAAGTTCGCTGACTCTGCAAAGCTCAGGAGCCCCTGGGGTGGAAGAAGCAGGCAGCCTGTGAGAGCCTGTGCCCCACAAAGACGGTGGAGGAGGTAGTGGAGGTAGAGGGCTCACCCGGAATTCCTTGAGGCAGAAAGTGATGGCCACCCCTTCTGGTGCCCGAAGCTGCTGGAAATCCTCCTCTCCAAGGCTCATCTCAGTCACCATAGCCTTGCTGGTGCTGTCTGTAGGGTCAGGCACAAGATGGTCTTAGGACCCCAAGTCCTGGGCCTTGCCCCCAGCTCTGCTCTCTCCTGGGGCATGTCCAGCTCCCTCACCTGTCTCCTCTTCCTGGTAGCTGCGCAGGATGATCCGTCGGCCATGGCCAATGCCCAGTGTCACTTCTGTCAGTGCAGGGGGGAAGGGCAGAATAGCCTCCCCCAGCACCCTGTGACAAGAGCAGAGACAGATGCACACGTGTAATGTACAGGCCCAGCAAGCTCTGAAGACAAGACTGAATGAACAGGGTATGTTCCCTGGTCAGAAGCTCTTTAGTTGATGGGAATAAACAAAAATAGAGCCCACACAAGACGGCAGGAGGATGGGCAGGCAGCACCTGATGGTGGCAGGCAGAGAGCCAGGGGTTCTCTTTCCCTCGAAACACTTGGCTAGAAGGGTAAAGCCCTGATCCAGTCCCAGCACAGAAGGGAAAAAATAGCTGGGTGTGGTAGCACATGCTAAACCTTTTTTCCTTTTTTTTTTTTTTTTTTGTGGTACTTTGAAATAGGGTCTCCCTGGAACTCACCTCAAACTTAGGGCAATCCTCTTGCCCCCTTGACTTTACCTCTTGACTCAAGAGCTGGGATCACAGGCATACACCACTATGCCCAACCCACCTACTAAACTATAGCCCAGGCTCTCCAGACTAGCACACCCAAAACAGCAATACCCTGTCCCCAGCCCAAAAAGGTGTGGGAGGGGTATGCCCTTAAAACCTCGTCTGGTTTGTTTAGACTCAGACTCACAGCTAGCCCCACACTGGCTTAGAACTCACCATATAGCACCAGATGGCCTCAAAACCAATGGCAATCCTGCATTAGCCACACACCCCCACCAGATGTAGGTTCTCAAGCATGAAGTTACCACACCCTGTCTTCTAAGGATACACACTGCTAAACATTTGCAGAAAAATCACACCTAGAATTTGCCTCAAGGCAACTGGGAGCTGGGATGTGGTAGCTCAGTGGCATTCACAAGGCCCTGGGTTCTACCCCCAGCACTGGAGGGAAAAACAAGAGCTTGCATCTACTATATATTTGAATTTTTAATTTTTTGTTAGGGGGTTGTGGGGAAAGGGTCTCACTCTATAGCCCTGGCTAGCCTTGAACTTAAGAGATCTACCTGCCTCTGCCTCCTAAGTGCTAAAGGCCTTCACAGTTCACCATGCCTGGAATTTTTTTAAATGTTATTTTGTGTGAGTGTGCACGTGCTACAGCAGGAAGAGCAGTGTGGATGCCACAGCGTGCATGTGGCGGTCAGGACAACCCACAGGACTTGCCCCTTCCACCACCTGAACTTCGGTCGTCAGCCTTGGCAGCGAGGGTCTTCACCCACTGAACCATTGTGCTGTGGGTTGGGGATTTAGCTCAGTGGCAGTGCCAGGAAAAAAAAAAGGACAAAATGACAGTTTTGGGGGTGTTTTTTTGGTCTTTTTGAGACAGGGTTTTCCTGTAGCCCAGCTATCCCGGAACTCACTGTGTAGATCAGGCTGGCCTTGAACTCACAGAGATCCGCCTGCCTCTGCCTCTACCTCCCAAGTGCTGGGACTACAGGCGTGCACCACCACACTCGGCTACAGTTGTTATTTTTTAAGAAGAAACAGCCCTAAATGCAGACCATGTGACAGCCTCGCCTCTTTCTGTACTCGGAGAACTTCAACAGACCCCAAGGAAGCAGATGTCAGAACCTGGAAGGACTTTTGGTCACCATGAGAAAGGAAGGGGACCTTGGTCTGCTTGCAAGCAGTGTCCAGGATGGGAGGGGCAGAGCCCACTGCTCTCTGGGCTGGTCTCTAGGGACCTTCACGTCTGCTGGAGCCCACTCTCTTGGCCCTGCACACCCTACCTTATCTGTAGATTGTTCAGAAGCCCGCTTCTCCTTGCCCAGGTTCTTCCCCTGGCCTAGAGACTCCCCAAGACTACAGGCCTGACAGGAAGAGGCTTCTAAATCAGGAAAACTGCCAGAGGAAATGACCAGCTCAGAGAAGGGCTTTGAAGGGTCAAGAAAAGACCATCAAGGTTACTAAGGTCATATAAGAGATCTGTAGGTAGGTCACAAACACATTCTGGAAAAGGAATCAGAGCAGGCCTGAACAGTGGAAAGCCAAGCCAGATCTCTGGGATAGAGAAGGCGGGGTCCTATAGACAATGAGGCAGGGGAACCAGCCTGCTGCTTTTGTTTTTGTTTTTCCTGAAACAGGGTCTCCCTGTAGCCCCAGCTGTCCTGGAACTTGCTAGGTAGACCCGGCTGGCCGATCTTACAAAAATCTGCCTGCCTGTCTCCCAAGTGCTGGGATTAAACGTGCGTGCCATCACACCTGGTCCCAGTCTCTGTTTTTAAATCCAGGTAAGGACCCAAGTGTGCACTGGGCTGGGTGGTTTTTACATAGAAACCCTGAATATCCTTCAAGAAAAAGGTAGCTTTGCGTGTGTCTGTGTGCATGAGTGTGGGAGCCAGAGACATCTTTGGCCCTCACTCCTTAGAGTGCACTTTGTTTTTTTTTGACATAGTCTCTTCACTGGCCTGGGGCCTGCTGATGAGGCTAGGCCAGCTGGCTAATGAGCGCCAGGAAGCTGCCTGTTTCCACCTTCCCAGGGCTGGAATTACAAGTAGATACCACACTGTTTAAGGAATCAAACTCAGGTCCTCATGCTTAAACATCAAATGCTTTACTAAGTCATCTCCCCAACTCCTCCCTGCTCCCCTTTTGAAATAGTCCAGGCTGGCTGAGAACTCACTGATCTTGAACTTCTGATCTGCTCATCTCTACATTCTAATTGCTAAAATTGCAGGCATAGGCTACTGTGCCTACTGGGAAAGGCATATTCCGGCCAGGTGTAGTGGTGCATGCCTTTAATCCCTGCACTTGGAGGGCAGAGGCAGGCAGATCTCTGAGTTTGAGGCCAGCCTGGTCTATATAGTAAGTTCCATGCCACCTAGGGACATAGAGTAAGACCCTGTTTCAAAATTAAAAGAAAAAGGTACATTCCTAAATTGACACTTAAAGATCTAAAGATGGAAGAGAGAGCCGTGGGCTGAGTTTGTGGAAGGATGTGCTCACCGTGCTGGGGCGCAGAGCAAGTGGGGACACAATGCTGGATTGAAGACAGCCTGCAGGAATTCAGAGTCCTGGAAGGACAGGTTGTGTGTCTTCTTCACGCCTGGATGGGCAGAAAGGGTCTCGGTGGGCTTGAGGCCCTTCCCTCCTGCACGCTGCCCCAGTGCCTCGCTGGCCAGCTGTTCACTCACCATACTTGCAGTGGAGCTGGATCACCAGGCGGCTGTTGTTGCTGTTCAAGGAGATGCAGCACTTTTCCACACTCTTCTCCAGCATTGCCAGAGAGCGGAAGACTGACAGGAAGGACTGAGCAGGGTAAGGCACATCAGCCTGGCAGTGTGCCTCCATGGGCCAGGTCTCCACCCCATGTGGACCCTGGTCCATCACTATCCTGCAAAAGGGGGGCTCCCACCCCCTGTGGGACTGTGGTCTGCACACTTCCCATTCTTGTGCTGGGCCTCTGCCCTGACAGCCTTGAAAGACCTGTTCACTTTTCCTAACCATCTTGTAGACACCACCCTCTCCACAACTCTGCTAACCCTCTCCACCAGCTTCACCTTGTTGAACTTGACATGGAATTGCTCCTGGATAAGGCTCACCCCCACTCCCCACCTTGTGCTGAGGCATAGCTGTGGAGATGCCTGGGGTCCTCACCTTCATCAGGATCTTACACCGTGATGGATCCTGACCAGGAGGGGCTGGCTGGTACTGCTGGAAGAAGAGCGGTGCAAAGAGGAAGCAGGCATAGGCAGAGCGGGAAGAGTTTACAGTCCGTAGGGAGAGCTGGGTCGCAAAAACACGGCAGAGGAGGTAGTCAAGCAGCCTCAGGCCTACCCAACAGCCTGCTTACCTCTGGTCGTCCCCTTCCATCAACAACTGAGCCCCTCTGTCCCCCTTTGCTGCACAGACCTTCGAAGTGAGGCCCTCTGGCCTCTACCCCACGCCTCTCCAGAAGCCCAGGGCCTGCCACCCCATACCCTTCTCCCAGGGTCTGCCACCCCTGCCCTTGCCCCTACTTGCTTCAGCCCCAACCTGCCCGCCACTGGGCGCTCTGCGGGAGTGCCTTCTGTATACACCTGGGACGTCAGAAGTCACCGAGGCATCTGCCCAACATCATCCCGAAAGGCCGGGCAGAGCGCAGAGTCCACGCTTCGGAGTCCCTATTGGACCCGTCCTCCCTGACCCGCGTCCCAGCCCCTCACCCCGTCCTTCAAGGGTTCCAAGTAGAGCTCGTCCCCGATTCGAGATAGCGAGTGGACAGCCTTGCCCAGCACTGCGGGGACCAGAGCGGAGAGAGAGGTTACGGGGCTCCCCAGGCTGCACACCTGCCCCGCCGCTAGGCCAGGCCCCACTCACCCTTCACGTTGCCGCCGGCCACCAGGCACTTCATGGTGTCCTAGCCCTGAACTCCAGCCTCCTCTGCAACCGGACGGGGACGATCACCCGGCCCGCCTCCGGGTCCCAGCAACGGGTCTCAGCGGCCACTACCGACTTCCCAGCTCCCTTCCCGCGCGCCCCCCGGGCCAGCCCGTCCTCCGCCTCCTTATAGGTCCAAACGCGGGAACCTCCGTCACGTGAGAAAAAGGCTCAAAGGCTCTGCTGTCACGTGACGGAGTCAGCTCGAGGGTGTGGTCTCGGTCACGTGACCCGAAGCGCCGCCGCCGCCGCCGCCGCCGCCGCCGCCGCCGCCGCCGCCGCTCCCCCACCCCCCCCACCCTGCGTCATTCATGCCTCTGGGTCTCAGGGATGGACCCGAGTCCGGACATGGAGGGGTGGATCCTCGTAGAGACTGGGGAAGGAGGGTGTCTTGTCAGGGGATTAGGGGATCGAGGCAAGACCGTCTACACTCAGTCTGGTCGTGGGACTCGGATAGCAACCAGCAGGCACCGCCAGGTCTCCCCCCACAAAAGAGACTTGCTGCAGGAGAGGAGAGGGCTGTTTAGTTTCAGGAGCCTTCATTGATCTTCACTGATACACCGAGAAGAACAGAAGGTTCTGGGGCAGGGGAGGGTAGGAGGATGGACCCGGCAGAGGCCCAGCAGTACAGAGAGAAGGGGGGGGTCTGGGCACTGTGCCAGAGGGGTGGGGGCTGCAAGGCTGACCTGGAAACCTTGGAAAGGGTTAGGGGCCACCCATAGTGTGTGTGCATTTTGCCAAGACCCCAGACTGTGTGGAAAGATGAGGGTTATCAGCTAGGAAGTCTCCTAGCTGGGAGCAGTGTCCCTGGACTCAGTGTCCTCCATACACTGCCCTGAGCACCACGTTGAAGGGCGTGGGAAACACGGAGTTCTTGTTCCGCGTCAGGCCCCTGTGGCCCCTGTGGCCCCAGTGGGTAATGGGGAGGTTATTTGTCTCCTAGCCACACTTTGTTTTGCCTGCTCCTTACACTGGTGTCCCCTCCTGCTCCGCTCCCACTTTTGCTCTTTCCTAGAGCCTCCAGGGAGAAGATTACTTTCCCTTTCCACATCCAGGGCAATCAGTGTAAATGAAGCAGGCTTCCAGAAGCTCACTAGACAGAGCTGGCCTTGACCCAGTCCTCCCCAACCCTGTAGTGCAGCCCTCTTCATCCATCTCCACAGCTACCACCTGGCTTGGACTGCCCTTGCTTACCAGACAGACACACCAGCTCTCGGTGATCTGTGCCCCTTCCCCTGTCTACCCGCTCCAACAGTGACAGCAAAAATGAAATGTCTTATTGAAACAGTGCTGCCATAAATCCAGACCCTTGCCCCTGAATCTCCAGGATTCAGGCTCCACCTGTGTCTCTGCCTACCTCCCACCTGAGATGGCTCCACAGCCTAATCAGGTCCCTTGACTTGCCACTTCCTCTAATGCCTGGAGTCTTTGTACTGTTCTTCCCACGACTGCAGCCATCTGCTTCTCACGTGCCCATTTCTCTTCCTGAGAGCCCAGTTCTCTTCCTGAGAGCCCAGTTCTCTTCCTGAGAGCCCAGTTCTCTTCCTGAGAGCCCAGTTCTCTTCCTGAGAGCCCAGTTCTCTTCCTGAGAGCCCAGTTCTCTTCCTGAGAGCCCAGTTCTCTTCCTGAGAGCCCAGTTCTCTTCCTGAGAGCCCAGTTCTCTTCCTGAGAGCCCAGTTCTCTTCCTGAGAGCCCAGTTCTCTTCCTGAGAGCCCAGTTCTCTTCCTGAGAGCCCAGTTCTCTTCCTGAGAGCCCAGTTCTCTTCCTGAGAGCCCAGTTCTCTTCCTGAGAGCCCAGTTCTCTTCCTGAGAGCCCAGTTCTCTTCCTGAGAGCCCAGTTTGAGAGAGAGCTCAGTTCTCTTCCTGAGAGCTCAGTTCTCTTCCTGAGAGAGAGCTCAGTTCTCTTCCTGAGAGAGAGCTCAGTTCTCTTCCTGAGAGCTCAGTTCTCTTCCTGAGAGCTCAGTTCTCTTCCTGAGAGCTCAGTTCTCTTCCTGAGAGCTCAGTTGCAATGGTTCCTCAGCAGGTCTCCACTGCCCCTCAGCACAGAACACTCTGCCTAAGCCCCAGGCCCTTTTGTAGCCATAGTGCTCATCAGTTTTTCTGGTGTTTTTAATGCCTTAGTATGGCAGCTTTGTGTGGGCAGTGTTGGTTGCTCTATTCCTATACATGACACATGTCCTGTGGTCAATAAATAGATGTTAAGTCAGGTATAGTGGCTCGAGCCTGTAATCCTAGCATCAGGGAGGTTAAGAATTTGAGTGGTTGCCAAGTATGGTGGTACATGCCTTTAGTCCCAGCACTTGGGAGGCAGAGGCAGACAGAGCTCAGTGAGTTTGAGGCCAGCCTGGTCTACATAGTGAGTTCCAGGCCATCTGGGGCTACAGGGAGACCCTGTCTCAAAAAGTCCAAATGATGTTAAATAAATATGTGAAATGGGGTTTGAATAGATGGTTCAGCAGGTAAGAGCACTAGCTACTCTTACAGAGGTCCTGGGTTCGAATCCCAGCTCCCACATGGTGACTAAAATCCATCCGTAACTCTAGTTCCATGAGATTCAGGGTCCTCTTCTGACCTCTGTGGGCATTGCACAACATGGGTATACTTATACACATGCAGGCAATACATTCATACACTCATAAAAATAATAAAATATTTAAAAAATAAGTAAAGCTGGGTGTGGCGGCACACGCCTTTAGTCCCAGCACTTGGGAGACAGAGGCAAGAGGATCTCTGTGAGTTCAAGGCCAGCCTGGTCTACATAATGAGTTCCAGGACAGCTGGGGCTACAGGGAGACCCTGTCTCAAAAAGTCCAAAAAAAAAAAAAAAGTATGTGAAACATTTAAGCCTGGTTATCTCTACATGAATCTTAGTGTGAAAGACAAATCCAGCTTCCACTGTACCCACAGTGCCTTCCTGGGACCATAACTGTCACCATAACTATCACCATTCTCAGCCCAAAAACAGCCCTGCTGCCAGGCATGGTGATAGGGGTTTGTAATTTTTTTTTTTTTTTTTGTCTGTCTATTTTGAGACGGTCTCCTCGTAGTCCCAACTGTCCTGGAACTCACTAGGTAGACCAGCCTGGCCTCAAACTGACAGAGATCTTGCTACCACTGCCTCTCAAGTGTGGGTTTGTAATCGTAGCTACTTGGGAGGCTGAGGCAAAAAGAACACAAATTCAAGACCTTGTGAGAGTACATAGAGAGTTCAAGACCAGCCTGAGCAACTTAGTGAGAAAGGGCTGATGGGCCAGGGAGATGTGAGATAGAAATGATTGCTGTACAAGCCTGATGACAAATTCAGTCCCCACAGTCCATGATTGAAGGGGAGAACCAACTCCTGAAAGTTGTCCTCTGACCTCCACACGTGTTTCATGCCACTTGCACTCACACACACTGATAATAAAAGAAAAATAATAATCATAATAAAGGGCTTGAGATGGAGCTTTGAGTCGAGCCCTTGACTGACATTCAAAGGCCCTGGATACAATTCCTAGTATCACATACAAAACGGCCTTCTCTATTGGCTTCCTTACTGTTTCCTCCTCCCAACATAGTCTCTCCCCCACCCAGAGGTGGACAGCATGGGCTTCTCAGCTTTTTGACCTCCACTCTGCCTACTCCCAGGCCCCTGAGCAGCAAGACTGAGCAGGAGACAGACCCCATGGCTCCCTGAAGGCAAATGTGGGGAAGGCTTCCAGTTGTCCTGTTTCTGCCCCTGACTCCTATAGGTTGTAAAGTCCCCCTTAAGTCATTGGCACAGGAGGAGCTAGAGTGATTTGGAGTTGTCACCTTCCTGCTCCCTTACCCGAAGCCAGAAACCATCTGAACATTCTGCTTTGATTAGAAAACAGAGAAAAGCTGAAAGTCAGGAGACCCAGGAGCCAGGAGACCTGGGCTTTCCATTCGGGCCTCCACACTGACTTCCATATGATTTTGTGCAAGTCCTCCCTGCCTGAGGCTGTTTCTGTCTTGGACGGGGGAGGACATGGAATACAGGATACCCCTTCCAACCTGACACAGATTCTGAAGGGCTTCTCTGCACTCGTATCCTGTAGCAACAGGAAGGGAGGTATTTCTATGGTCCACCTTCCCCTCCCATGCTTGGATTATATGGGACTGGAAGGGTGTTTTCCAGTTTGAAACCAGAAGCTCTTAGCCTTGCAGTTGGCATATCCAACCACGGACTTTTGGCCCAGAAGCAAAGTTGGGGGTGGGGAGCTGGGACCCATTGGGAACCTGCTATGGAGGATGAGGAATGGATCCTGAATGAGGACTTGGGCCCATGCTGAAAGTTAGGAGAGTAAGGTGTGGCTCCTGCCCTATTCATAAATGGCCTGGAGCAAGTCAATGACCCTATCTTGGCCTCAAGTTCTTCCTCAATAAAATGATGCAATTGGATGAGATGCTCTCTCAGGGTCCTCCCCAACCCCAAACTTATGGTGTTCCCCCACCCCATGTTAGAGACAGCCTCCTACAAGTAGATAAGTCTGTGTGAGTGCATGGTGTCTGGAGGTAGAGACAGAGTGAAATAAAGCAGGTACCATTTTAAACTTTTAAAATAATTATCTGGGGCTGGAGAGATGGCTCAGGGGTTAAGAGCACTGGCTGTTCTTGCAGAGGACCAGGGTTTTGTACCTAATACCCACACAGTGGCTCACAGTCACCTGTAACTCCAATTCCAGGGGATCCACGTCCTCTTCTGGCCTCTGCAGGCACTGCATATATATACATGCAGGCAAATACTCATATATATAAGTCTACAAAAATTAAAATATCTGTCAGGAATCTCTTCCTTTCAGCTACCACATCTAGGGTAGACGCAGAGGAAACCCAAAGCCTGGCACTTGGTGCTCAGATATTGATTCATTCAACATATACTGGGGCCAAGTACAAGACAAAGCTCCCTGCCATCAGGAGTCTACGCTGGTGGGAAGGGATAGGCAAAAAACGAAGAAGTCGGTCACAAGGTGTGTGGACAATGACAGGGAGAAAGAAGACCTGGAGAAGAAGAGAGGGATGTCGGGAAGAAGGGTTCTCTCTCTCTCTCACTATTTGCAATTTGTATTATTTTTGTTTTGCTCATTTGGTCTTTGAGAGAGTCTCTCCATGAATCTATGGCTGTCCGGGAACTCACTATGTAGGCCAGGCTG